GTAGAAAGCGTATAAAATATTTTTTGCCAAATAGCGAACGTGTATCCATGGAAACAATTAAGCTGGTTTTGATCCTGTGCCTTTTCATTTTGCCATAGGCTATTTTTCAGTATTTACACTTGAAAATGTAACAAGTATTAATTTTAATAAAAAAAACAACCCACAGTAGCCAATTCAGCAAGCATTTTACTATAGCGAGTTCTGGGTGGCTTTCCTCAGTAAGCATTCTAATATAACGATAATATTTTAAACTGCCAACACTTAATAGTGAATTTTAAATACTCTTTCAGCAAATGCTTTTCCTTCTAGCACAGAAATCACTGGAAAGCAAGATAGTAACTACTAGTGCTTAGCTTACCAAGTGCCAAATCCCACTATTCATTTGCTTCACGGATTTCATTAGCGCACCACTAGCAAAAGGTTTGATTGTCTAAACAACAGGGAAGGAAATGAAAATCAGCTTTGCTATAAGAGATGGCCCACTGAATTATTCTGGCCATTTGACGATAAGAGCTGGCTAAATCACTGGATGAAACCCTCCTGATTTTTGCATGAATTTCACCAGCTAAAGTGAAATCAGTCTACAGATAAATTCCTGCTTTGACTGTAGCTGAGAATATAGAGTTCAATTACATTTTATTTCTATCTTAAAAGTAATCTCGGAAGGTAACTTTCTCAGAGAATCAGTGCTACCTCAGGGATCAACCACTCTTCTCTGCCCTTCAAAGTCTGAGAGTTAAGTACAGAAGGGAGAATAGTAAGAGGGTTTAGTTGCAATTTTATTTATTTAATCTCTCTTCAAAAGACTAAGAGCAGACTGTTCAGCACCCACCAGTAGAGTTGCCTACTGCAAACAAATACCACACAATGGATAGAATCTGGCTTTCAACACAGTTAATAGTGATAGAAAAAGTGGTTCACATCTAATTCTTTTCTGTGCTGCACCTCAGATGACTACATATACAGACTATACTATATATACAGACCTCTATAAGGGAATGCAACCTGAATTGCAGTTTGGTTTTGTGTTTATTTCAGCTATGTCTATTACCTGAGGAGAACTGCACTTGACCACATTAATTCTAACAAAGATCCTGATTCAAGGCAGGTTAAGTGGGAGGAAAGGATTTTTTTTTCAGATGGGAATTGTTGGATTCACATATATAAGTGCCTGAAAACCTTAGGATTGACCCACACTAAAAAAAAAACCAACAAAAAAATGGTGTCTAGGAGAGTGCATTAACAAGCTCTGAGAGCCCTCTTAAAAAAAAAAAAAAGTTACAATATTCTACACTAGGATTAAGCTCCCCTTTAAGTGACTTAAAAGCCCTTAAAGGAAACCTGGAGGTACAGAAGCTGCCACATACGTGTCCTGCTCACGCCTCCATGCTGTTGAAGTGCTTCAGATGTTAAAACTTTTGGTTCTACTGAGACACATAATGAGATGTTTATAAGGTACTGTGTGCTCCTGGTACTTTACCTCAGAGCTGGGTTAGCTTAGAATACAAACCCCCCCAAATTCACAGTAGCATTACTATACTTAATGCTTCTCCCTTTTGGTAAGTTCCAGTTCTCTCTCATACTGAACACCAAAACCTTTTGAAGTCAGACTTAATAATGCTACTAAAACACAACAGAAGCAATTTCATAGAATATCCTAGTAAATCATCCATGCGACTCAAAGATTAACAAAGAGGATACAAGATAAGCTAGTTAGGAGGTAACACAGACTCTGTAAAACACAGATGGACGGTAACTCATTTAGACATGAAGGTTCAACTCAAACTATGACTAACTATGAGCTTTTGGCTCCATCCAGGACTAGAACCATGTAGTTAGATTGCAGATGTAGCAGCGGATTGGTGAGATTCTGATGTCCTAAAAGGCTTCATGCCAATTATATTATTTCTGCCTACCATCATTAGAGAGGTAAGAGGCCAATATATCAGTGATCTGGTGAGAATTAGGAAGCCTAAGTATTGTATAACAACAGTGCTTTAAGATGTTTGCAACTCGATGTTGAAGACAAGCCTAATTATGTTCCATTCTGGTTTTTATTTGCTTTGAAAGAGGTTTTGCTCTTGAATTAACCAAATGCTCATGTCCCATGCCTTGTTAAAACTGACTGTCATACAGACTAAGTTTGTATTTGCTCCTGGATTGGATTGTACATGTAATAGGCTAGGGACTTTATTTTCCTAAATTGCTCTTTATCTGTATAAAACCAGACATGATCTACAGCGCTCCTTAGTATGAAATGCCCTCCAAGCTTTGTTCTGGCCATTAAGTGAGGGTCACCTTTCTCATCACATCTAAAACTGATGTTCATAGAACGGTCATTTGACTACTGTTTCCTATTGGAAGGATTTTAATTTGTTTTAACACTAAATGACTGGTTACAAGACAGTCAAGTGCTCTGAAAAATCAGCTTCTGTTATTTAATTATTTGTGTATGGTGGCAGGCAAAATAAACTCTATTTAACTGCATTTTGTCCATCTTCACTTACTCAGATTTTCCATGCCAGATTGCATGCATACAGTAAAGCTAAATTTCTTAGTCAGCTAATAAAACCTTTCACCCTTGTGTAGCTGCTATTTTCATGTGGCACTTCCAGTAAGCTGAGTTGGCCAAAGTGCCTTTCCCCCCTCTGTCCTCACACGCCTTTAAAAGGCAGGTGTTTACAGTGCAACGGACTCTCCAAGAAAAGCGTCCTGGCCTGAGATGCCTTTAGTATTTGCCCCCTACATATCATAGTGATAGACACCTACTTTCTCAGCTTGTTCTGAGAAAAAGGAGTTGTCCTAGGACTCCTCAGGGGAGTCCTGCTGTGCTGTGAACGTACAATTCCTTTTGCCAGCTTCTGCTCAGAGATTCACCCTAACAGTTAGGTCTAGATTAGCCTGACAATCACAGATTTCATAACAAGTTCGGGTAGTTTGCCTGCCATCGTGAAAATGTTTTTATTCTAGGGTTATTAAGAAGAGGGGGACATTTTAAATACTACACTGCTCAATAGTTTAACTTGTCTATTAAGTCGCCAGTAACAGTACTTCAGGATAAACTACAACTGGAATTCTTTAGGGACGGAAAAATTAGGTAGCCTACATCTTTTGGTGGAATATCAGAAAAAAGAAGCGAATTTGAGGAGGAGCTTTTTAATGTAAAATCCAAGAGACAATATATGAAGGGAAAAAAAAGAAATAACACAAAGTATGGATTGCCAATATGAATAATACCACAAATTCAAGGATAGAATCTGGCACAGTACCTTTTACATATGACACTCATATTTGCAGTGGTCCAGCTATCATACAAATGCAAAAAGGCAAGTTCACCGCAAATAGGGAGTAATAGAACAAAGACAGTCCTTGCCAGCTTCATTTTTGCTTAGATATTTCATGCTCCTGGTTTTCGTTATCAGATGTAGACCTCTTCATTGCACTGTAAGAAATACAGAAGTAATTATGGTTGGGGAGCAGGGTATATAGCCCAGTACATTCCCAACATGCTGGAAGGGTCCCTTGCTCACGAGACGGGTCAGAGTTACGCACAAGAACAAAAGCATGAGATTACGGAAGAAGAGTTAACCAAAGTTGTGACCAGTAATACAGCGCTATTAACTGTTTTAATTTGACTACAACAGCTACAAGTATACTACAACTATTATCGTATTAGCGTGTACTCTACAGATAACAGAAATGGTCCTAGGGCTAGTCAGATTTGCATATAATCCTTCTCTAAAAGTACAAGTTACTGTTCTTTGTTACCATATTCATAGGACAGTTTTGGCCTTGAGAATTGCATTCTTTTATATTTGTTCAATTAAGTCTTAGCAGAAGGACTGTGGAACTGTCTGATACTAGACTGCTAGGCAGTCACTGCCTACCATGAGGGAACTCAGGAAAGTGACAACAGTATATATATGCCAAGCAAGGGAAACGGCATACAACCATGTAGAGGTCAGGTGGAGGAGGTTCACATGGTTGACAATTTAATTACTCTGCAAAATCATTAAGCTCTGGAGATGTGCTATTAGAAGTTCTGGCATATGCAACTGCTAAAGGGATAATTACAATGTGCCTGGGAGGTTTTATTCCAAGTTATTATTACAGCACATGGAAGTTACTTTATTTTTTCATGTAGGTTTATTACGCCTCCCACCTGCAGGAGACTCTCCATCTGTCACTTTGCGTCTGTGCCAGCACAACCCAAATGCATAAGCTACAACCTCCCTGTACAGTCCCACACGTCCTTTTATTTTACCCCTACTGCATTCACACCTCCCCTCTCCAGTCACAGCCCCCTACATCACACTAGCTACCAATGACCTTGATGAAACAAGAATAGAGATAAGGGAGAGGCTCAAAACAACGAGGAAATGGCACTCCCTATTGACCACTGTGTTACTTTTCCATAATCCTACGCATGAGGGTCACAGAAGAGGAGGAGATGCGCTACCGTAAGTGAGAAACAATTCCAGGTGAGGACGGGGGCAGCAGCGGAGTTTCACTGACCTTGGCCTATCACTGAGTGAACATCTACAAAGAGATAAATGCAGAGGACTTTCAAAATAAGATCGTGGCTTGTTCAGCCGGGCCTGTTACTGTGCACTTAGTTCACTACATGGCATTAGGTTTCCATCTGACACCTGTGCCATCTGTAAGCTTCTCTTCCATCTAAGTTTAACGCAACTGCCAATTCAAAGTTCAGAGCAGAGATGATAATACCTTTCCAGGAAGATCCAGGTCCCAACCAGATGGAGCTTCAAAAACCTTCAGTCTGTCAAGTAAAATTTTCCAGCACAGCTTCTTAGTGTCACGTGGTGCAATCAACCATCGTACTGTCCAGCCATTCTGCTCGACTGCCTGGCATCCGACCTTTATGTTGCATGTTGCTGGTGGCAGCCGCTGCATACTCAGTTTGTGAACACCAGTGGTAGTGACAGAAGACAGCTTTACGAGCATTCTATGTTTGAGAGCCGGCGTTGGTAGTAGAGGGCCGGTGTTGGCAGTAGAGGGACCATTTGCTGTGCTCCTAAGACACCGATTATTATTTATCCCATGATCAGGTGAAGTTTAAGCTACAACTGGTTTCTCCATTTCAAATCAGGGCAGCAATTTCAGCTACAAGCAACACCTGCCCCCACCTGAGGTTTCATACTTTCTTCAGCAGTTGTGATGACTTTTCAGTTACTTTCAAAGGAACAGAGTCACCTGGGGAGCCCTGTACAAGACCATCTTTTTCTCCACCTGCACAAGTAAATAACGTATTTAGTGTTAGGTAAGAACGAAACTGTTTGTCCCCAGAACAAGGTCTGTAATATTTTTTAAAGGAATTCCCAATAATCCAGAACTTTCACTACTGAAACAGGGCTTATGCACTCCAGGAAGGAACAAGATGCATATTCATAATCTGCAGAGCTTTCAGACATGAAGTATTCTCCACACAAATACTGCCCTACCCAAACCAACACAATCTGTCAGACAGCAAGACTGACACACACACACAGTACTTTTGTCATTTACAGTCGCTTCCAGGCTAAGTTATGTATAACATGTTTGTCTGTCTCAGTCAGAGACTCTGGTGAACAGCCTCCATTTTAGCCCCCTCTAACACCTCTCACCCCCACCCACAACAGAGCACCTTAATCAAAAACTAAGATAGTGGACAAATACACGTAACCGGACAGAAATTAGCAGATCCTGCAGAAAATACTTTAGCCTAGTGGAAAATTCTGTACCCGGAGGTGTTTTCCTGCAGATCTGATTCCATTTTGGACTCGTAGGCAATTAAGCGTCAGAGAAGCTTTATTACATACTTCGGAAAAGAAGAAAGATGCAGACGTTTGCCAGAATGAGGGGAAAATGAAGTCTTTCCTTCTCCCGTGCTGCCACCTCGTGACAAATCAGACTCCAACTTCTAAAACAGACCAAAAGACACATCTAAACATTAGCAAGTTTTTTCAGACTCCACCAAACACACACTTGCTGTAGACATTAAACACACCGCTGCTATGGCAGGCACCCAAAAAACCATTTTTTTTCAGTTGGTAGATCGCTGATCCTAGTCTGATGCTGCATCCCGTCTCTTTACCTGACTTTGCAAAGCTCCCGGCTTATCTACAGCATCTTCTTCCAACTGCAACTGAAGTCATAGGAACCAAGAGTTCCTACCCAGGCCCAACTGTCTGACAGTATCTTTTAAAGGGCCTTTCCAATGGTTAGCAGGACAAACTTGGTTTCTCAAGTCAACAGGAAATACAAGCTGAAATGTTCTTTGTGGTGCTGGCCCCAGAATTCTAATCATAGTTACCTCTTCCTACAAGTCTTGCCTCTCCAGTCTCAGGAGTAATGAAACAGCAAAGTTTCTGTGCTGTTTTAGATAACGCGTCTCAAGCTTCTGATCATCTAATAATTATGGAGCTGGAAGACAGGTATTTCTTTGCAAAAACATCTTTGGAGCAATTGCTGCCTAAACACTACAATAAATCCCTCCTCCGAAGGACAACACTGAAGAACAGTAATATTTAACTCCTCTCCCTTCTTAAGATCTTCATCTGCTTTCACAGCTGTTTAATTAAAAGTTCAGCTCAGTAAAAAAGTAATACTGAATAACTTAAGATCCAGAGTATGCCAATATAGTAATTGAAAAATCACAGACTGTAAGGCAACCAGACAGCCCATGGTCCAGCAGCAGCCTGTCGGCACACCTGCAGCACCTCTAAGAGGTTTATACGTGTCTAGCACCTGTCCACTGAGGTTTACAAAGTGCTTTACAAACTCTAATTAACCCAAGGTGAGAATTAACAGATCTGGATTATGCAGAGACGAACGGCAATGAAATCTTCAAAACCTGAATACCACCATACCAAGGGCAAGCTCTGTGCCCACCAAAAAGCCAGGGACCTTGTCAGAAATGTTACTGCCAGGTCATGAATTGCACAATTCCCGTTTTTGGAAGAGAACAATGTACACATCAGCCAGCAAGGTACGGAGTAACACCTGCTACCTGTAAGCTGAAAGAAGTACTGAGAGTTGCAAAGGTGTAAGATGTGAAGACTGTTCAAAGCCACACCTATCACTAGTGCAAGTGCAAAAGCAGGATGCTACCGCTGCCAAAGCAGGCCTTCAACAATAAGATTAAGTCATTAGAAGGTAAGAAAAAGCTAGAACTTACCCCTAGGTTGGCAGGTAGCACAGAGAAGGCTGAAGTTTCCTTGTCGCTGTTCTCTGAACTCTCTCCATTTGGGGTTTTGCTTTTGTCTTTAAAGTTTGCTCAAGAAAGCTTTTTACTAAACAATGGAAGTAACCCTTCGTACACAAGTATTGCAGAGGAACAAGCAGTGGTTAACAATTAGCAAATTCGACAGTCAGCCAAATGTTAGCAAACATCCAACCCCATGAAACATTAACCAGCTACTGAAGAACTAACCTAGAGAAAAAAGCCTGGAAGAAGAAAACTGTGTTTGCTCAATGCATATCTTCACTGTTCATTGGGACATACTCAGTAAGTCCTATCAGACCAGCCACAAAACTGGCAAACACAAAAAATAGTAATGCATTTGCCGGGTGCCACTGGTATTTTCAGAGTGTTAGAACTGCCTTACTGACTTGTCGCATATTTGACTACTGAAAGTAAAACTGCTTCTAGAAACGCAGTGAAGTCAGGGCTTGTTAAGTTTGTTTTGTGTGACTCTCAGCAGACACGCAAGAATCAACAAAGGCTGTATCTCTTTTTCAGATACTTTCACAACTTTGACATTGGGATTGTAAATACCGTGGGCATCCTTTTTTATACAAAACTAGCTAGAAGTAAAAGAAATTGTAGACAGTTTGCCCTTCTGTGATTACTGCAGTGTAAAGGTTTTCATAAGCATGACTTTTATTGGGACTTCTAAAAAACCACTAAAAATCACACCATTTTTATTCTTAGAACTTTAACAGAAGGTATTTCTTCATGGACAGATCTACATGTATACAGCAGAAACTTTAAAAGGAATTTTAAAGCGTTCTCTGAAACCTTTAACTTTCCATTGCTTGCAGCTTGATTTTACAATAGAGCTGTACTTTTGTATAGCTACCTTTCTTACAAAATGTAATGTTGAGTTTCTAAAATGTCACCTTATTTTGCAAAAAACCACAGAACTAATTCTGCTGAACAGACTAACATAGTTTAAAAAAAAAAATGAAGAAGTTGTCTATCATATTTTCCCTAAGCAAAAAGACAACCAGTTCCCATTTTCTTCCATTCCTCATAGTCATATGGGGAAGAGGTGTACGAGTTTGTTGGTCAAAGAGCAGCGGTCTCTAGATCTGTGGCCTGGGTGAACATGAATTCAGAGGGACTGCATTAATGCAGCAAAAACATAGGCAGCCCATATCAATTACCGCAAGCTGTTCTCCTCCACTCCTCTGCTCTTCCTCAGAGTCATTCAAAACGGAAACGCAAAGACATCTCCCATGTCAGCCTCTCTCTAATTCCACTTACAGCTCCCTCTGCACCCTGCGCAACACAAGCTTCTCGCCCTGCCACTCTGATGCTTTCATAGTACATCGCGGTATCTGCTGATTCCATCAGCCCCAGTACCTCCTCCCGGGCCTCCCACTGCACTGATCGTGTGTCTTCTCCATGCCTCTCCCCATCTTCTTCCACATCTCATTTTAGATACAATTCTTCACCTCAGGCTCAGCTGATAAAGAAAGCATTACTACACTCACCAAATCCTTCCTCAAAAATCTATGTCCACCATGATGCTCTTTAAGAATGCTGCTTTTCCTCAAGATAATGCCAACATGCCAAGCAACTCAGTGTTTTCACTTCTTCAGGTAACAGGGAAGTCCTTTTACAGAGAGAATGTGTTTTCCTTCGTAAGAACTTTATTTCTATGCACATAGTTCACATAAGACCTTTTACTTTCTTTAACACGTGATCACAGATTAGAGCAGAGGTGACTAGCAAAAGACAGTAATTGTGTATATGTGATTCATGACATTACTAAAAGCTATATGTTTCTTGCTGTGCAAGATTTCTTTTCCCATTACTATTTTCTTTGCTTCTAAAAAGGAAAAATTTGTACAAAATGCATTTGGAAAATGTGTTATGTATTAGTTACGTGGAATTTTTAAAATGAAAAAAGCTATTTTTTCCCACTAACAAACAGTCCTTGGAATAATTACAGGCATACCAAATGATAATTGTCCGAGTTGGTAAGTAAGAAAGTCCAGGCATACCACACAGAGCACAGCTCCACAAAGCAGGGATGTAAAAGGAAAGAGCTTTACAAGCCCTGACAATACTGACCAATGCCTTGATCACTCAGCTATTTCAAACTTTGATGCTTCAGAAGATGCCTCTTGGCTATTTCCTTAGCTTCTTTGCAGACCCTCCTTTTCATTTTCAAGCTGTCTTTTTCTCCATGAATATTTGGAAAAAAGGCTGGGCTTTTTTTTGTCGGGGTGTTTTGGGTTTGGGGTTTTTTTGGGGGTTGGTTTTTTGTTGGTTTTTTTACCACCTCCATTGTCTACAATAATTCAAACAAAAATGGCTATTCAGGCCTGTTTTTTTCAGGATCGGCACCGGTTTCCTGCACAGGAACAGTTGTTTGATCCCCATTCTCCACGGATAACATCAAAGTCTGATCCTGCTGTCCACTCTTTAAAACATGTCAAAGGAAAACACAGGGTATGAAGGTCAGCTTTTATTAGCAAATGCCTGCTATTTTCACTACTAACAGCTAGACTTTTGCTTCTTTCTTAAGATCAAGAGTCGCTGTAGGTCCCCTCTCAAATCAGAACTGCAAATTATACGGTCCATTCAATGTTTTTCCTATGAAACACATCGCTGTCTGCACAGATACCAGATCTCGCAAATCACTAACAGGAACTTTTAGGGCATACATAATACTGTAGGGTGGAGAGTAAATAAACACAGTTACGTAAGTCAGACTCGTATTTCTTAGTAGGAGTCCATCTCCTAAATCCCCTTAAATATTCATTCTTAGGCAATGTCAGGAGATAATAATGGCCTAGGGACTAGATCCCAAGCCTCCTAATGAGAATCACATAAAATGAGTTTATACTGTGTAGTTCTGGGGATTCTGGAACTCACAGGCACTCCCAGTATCCACAAGCCGCTCCAGCACGCACTGAGCCCATCAGACACATAGCACAAGCAAACACGGAACAAAAAACCTACTTCAGATTTCAACATATTACAAAAAAAAAGAAAGGAGAGAGAGAGAGATACTCACCCCTGATTCCTGCACCGCTGCAAAGAAAAGGAAACAGTCCCATCAAAATGCAGTAAGGTGAACTTTATACTAACACATTTTTCTCATCGTGTTATCTTGTCCTTACATGTATGTAGGAGTGGTTCAGCGGTGAGCCGGCATAGGCACACCCCCTAAGGGAGGCATCATTACAGCAGGTTAACTGTGGCACTCACAAATGTAGAAATTTCCTTGCAGTTCACCTCTAATTGGCTGTTAAGGTTTCAGCTCAACATCTAGTGAAACGAAGACCACTCTTCGGAATACTAGCTATTACAAAACCACCCCTTTATACACATGCTCTCCGTACTTACGTGGCACATGAGTTTTCCTTTTCTTCCTTTGCCAGATATATGTAAGGCCAACTGCAACAACCAGCATGGTTCCAAGAACAGAACCAACAATTGCTGTAACAGAGGAATCTGAGGAAGGATTCCCGTCCCCTCCTGGTACCCAGCTGTTCTCCTTAAGTCTGATGTGAGAAAAGAAATAATTGTGTTCTTAGAGCCTGTGAGCAGACCTTGCAGGGGAACTGCTGTACTGTTTTTAACATCACACCTCCACATCCAGGGGCATTCACAACAGTCTTTCTGATTTGGTGGGTAATCCAAGAAGGAGCTGCCTTTTACCTCTTTGTTTTAATGCTTGTAAATGCAAATTGATTCCCCTCAGAAGCAAACTCTCACCTGTTCTGCTATAGCTAAGGGATGTGTCAGCTGAAACCCAGGTACCCAGAGGAGTCCACTGCTCTTCGTGGGTCCAGATCCAGCTCTGTTAGAGCTGTCTGAGACTCTCCTGTGCACTGACAAGTTATGACAAGAGGCTGAAGGCAAAATCTGTCATGTTAGTGAGTTTATAAAGAGAGAAGTTAAGCTGTTCCCAAGAAGGAGTGGGACATAGCAACAGGATTCCACACTTGGTGCCTTACTGGAAGCAGGAAACTGCTGTTTTGAAGACAGCAAAATGCAGACCCAAAAGTTAAAGAGAATAGCCCCACACCCATAAAGAGTAAGAGCTGCTTACCTGGGCCACGGTGTACAACTGTAGGACATGTTGGCTATTGAGGAGGTTCCGGGAGGACAGGCTTCACACACATTGTCAGTGGTCTTTGTGCCTGTAAGGGAGAAGACAACAGGATTTCTATCTGCACCTATGGCTAAGGAGAGCTTCAGTTCAGCATGATCTTTGTAAACGACCAAGTGATTACTGCAGAGACTCTTCATTACAGACCAAAGCTCACACACTTCTGTCTTTGCAGACAGGAAAAAAAGCATTCTTGGCCACATCAGCTACCTCAGCATCTAGGACTTACATGGATCGTGCAAGCTTTCAGCTGTGCACTGCTGCTCTGACAATTACAGTCAGCACAGTGGACCAGTATACATCATAGCTCACATGCGCTGGCCCTATCCATTCACACTGATCCTTCACTACTTTTTTTCTGGATGAACTGACAGCCAGCCTCCTCAAAAATCAAACTCCAAAGGCACTCCCCATAAGAAAGTTTGGTGTTACTGATGCTATGTTGGCTTACCCCTTTCTTTTACCATAGTGCCAGGAAAGCAGACAGTGTAGCGTTGACAAAGTTCGCAGTCTTCAGTCCCAAAATAACTGCAGAAATACCCAGGCAGACAGCCACACACAGTATTCTTCGTATAGGTACAGGCCGCTTCTGGCACTAGGTTGGCTCCTAAGAGAAATTTACACGCACAGCCACAGTGTTTACATGGGTACAATCAACAGATACAAAAGCAAAAGTGAACATTTAGCCTTGCCTTGATGCACTGGTGAAGAGCACCAGAACTAACAGGATTAGTGAAGATGACTCCTTTTTTGATGTATAAAGAGAGCCCAGTTCCTCACAGACACAGCATCTTGGGTCACATTTACGTCTGTCCGAAGTGACTTCATGGCAAAAGCAGAATACTCCCAACTGAACTCTGTTTTTAAATTAGCTGTCCTGGTGAAGCAGGACAGCTCCACCAGGAACTCTTTCAGGCCTGAAATTCCAAGCATTCCAAGACAGCTTTTTAGACACCATGCTTCAATCTAAAGGAGCCTTTAAATCACAGAATCATAGAATGGTTTGGGTTGGAAGGGACCTTAAAGATCATCTAGTTCCAAGCCCTCTGCCATGGGCAGGGACACCTTCCACTAGACCAGATGGCTGTCACCAATCACCTCCTTATTTTCCATGTGCCTTAGCATAGTTTCCAGGAGGATCTGCTCCATGATCTTGCCAGGCAGAGGTGAGACTGATGGGCCTGTAGTTCCCCAGGTCTTCCTTTTTTGCCTTTTTAAAAATGGGGGTTATGTTTCCCCTTTTCCAGTCAGTGGGAACTTCACCAGACTGCCTTGACTTCTCAAATATGATGGATAGTGGCTTAGCAACTTCATCTGCCAGTTCCCTCAGGACCCGCAGATGCATCTCATCACGTCCCATGGACTTCTGCACCTTCAGGTTCCTTAGATGGTCTCGAACCTGATCTTCTCCTACAGTGGGTGGTTCTTCATTCTCCCAGTTCCCACCTTTGCCTTCTGCAACTTAGGCAGTGTGGCTTGAGCACTTGCCAGTGAAGACTGAGGCAAAAAAGTCGTTGAGTACCTCAGCCTTCTCCATATCCTGGGCAACCAGGTCTCCCGGGAGGGCCCACATCTTCCCTAGTCTTCCTTTTATCACCAACGTAACTATAGAAGCTTTTCTTGTTGCCCTTGACCAGATTTAATTCTATCAGGGCTTTAGCTTTCCTAACCTGGTCCCTGGCTGCTCGGACAACTTCTCTGTATTCCTCCCAGGCTACCTGTCCTTGCTTCCACCCTCTGTAGGCTTCCTTTTTGTGTTTGAGTTTATCCAGGAGCTCCTTGTTCATCTATGCAGGCCTCCTGGCATTTTTGCCTGACTTCCTCTTTGTTGGGATGCATCGCTCCTGAGCTTGGAGGAGGTGATCCTTGAATAATACCCAGCTTTCTTAGACCCCTCTTCCCTCCAGGGCTTTGTCCCATGGCACTCTACCAAGCAGATCCCTGAAGAGGCCAAACTCTGCTCTCCTGAAGTCCAGGGTAGTGAGCTTGCTGTGTGCCCTCCT